TGCCAGTGCTGGGGGAAGGGTAGCTGGGCGTCAAGGCTGTGGCAAGGCAGGAGAGTGGGGAGGAAGGTGCCTGCCCCTCCACCAGGGGATGGGGGACGGCTCCTTTGGGGGCAGCAGGGAGCTGCATGGCTGGGCTGGCAGCACTGGGTGCAGTGCCCATGCTCGTAGAGGCATGGATAAGGGCAGCTGGGAGACGTTCCCCAAAGTAGGGGGTAAGGGGGAGCAAGGGGCAATGGAATGGGCAGGGCACTGGCATATCAGGGCTGCTTAGCACCAAAAACCAGCTGGGCCCACATCCTGGTGAGCAAAGGGGGCAGATGGTGGCTATGGAAAAAACATAAAACGCCATAATATATAGGTATTTAGAATTTATTTTATTATAATGATTGAGGCACTGGTAGGCTTCCAAACTGCTTTAAAATTGTAAATATACCAATTAAGCATTATGTTCCACTGATACCTATATATATATCTATTTTAATCAGAGAATTTTGGACTTTTATAAGATAATTTGAGATTTTTAAACAGAGAAGTCCAGGATCCCTGCTGATAAGTCTTCAGAGCAGAAACAGGCCAAGGATCATCAATTTCAGGCAGAAACTATCCAAATAATCAATTGGGAGGAAAATTTAACCATTTCAGCACAAAATCAGAGGAAGGGTGGTCATATTTCAGAACTTAATCAGAGTGGTCAATTGGGGAGGGAGCCAAGCAGGGAAGGACTCATCTTGGGGTGTCTGAGAAACCAACAAGGAAGCATCTATTTGTAAATGGAGGAATTAATAAGGGTTAATTAATGTTTGGAGGCAAAACTGGTGATGTGACATTGATTTCAAGGGAAAAACTAGTATTTTAGGAGTCAACAAGGAGGGAGGGATCATCAGTTTTGGCAGTGAAAACAAGAAGTTAATTAAAGTAGGGACAAAATCTTATGAGAGGCATCTATTCCAGGGCAAAACTTGATAGGGGCACTCAATTTGAGTAGCAAATCTAGCAAGGGCTTGTCAGCTTTAGGGATGAAACCAATTTGATTTCAGGACAGGGTACTGATGATGAGTAGATACTTTCTGAGGTCACACCATGAAAGTCTCATCATTTTGGGGGATGGGACCAAAAACTACCATTCATGTATTTGGAAAACAGAAGGTAATATAGATTAATCATTTCCAGGGCAAAATCCTATGTGAAAGTAATGAGATCTCAGGACAGAAACTTAGGACAGTGTCCACAAATTTTGGGACAGAATTTATGAGAGTTCATCTTTCTCAGAGGCAGAAATTGATGGAAAAGTCCACTTTGGAGAAACTGATAAGGGATAAGCAAATTTTGGGAAAAACTGATTATGTTCCAGGGAAGAAACTGACACACCATCTTCTCGTTCATAGGCAAAACTGAGAAATGGCTTTTTTTCCATAGGCAAAGTGAGGAACTGTCCTCAAATATGTGGTTGGAACTGACAACATTTCAGGACAGAAACTGGCATGAGACTAAAATTCAGAATGAAACTGGCAAGGGAGCAAGACGGTCAATTCTGGGGAAGGGGAGGGGCTAAAACTGACAAGCTGTTGTCAACTCTTGAGGAGACTCTGATAATGTTTTTGAGCAGAATCTCATGAGAGATCATCACTATTGGGTGTAAAAGCAGTGAGATTGCAAATGCAAAAAAACTGATGCGCTTTGAGGACAGAAACTGATAAGAGCTTGTCAGTTTCACAGCAGATGCTGATAAGCAGCTGACAATCTCTGGAGCAAAAAACTCACAAGGGGTGGTTTTCACCAATAAGGGGATTTATAAATCCTTTAAGCTTCAAAATGTCTAATGACATCAGATCCAAATGGCTGGGCAAATTTCAGAGAGAATTTCAAGAATTCTTACCTCAGCCCAAATACACTGATTTATCTGACAGAACTTTAGGGCTGAGTTACCATCATTTGCCTGAGAATACAAGACTTCACTACAGCACAGGCTAGTGTTGAAACTTAGCTCTTCAAAGTTCATGCATGTGCAATTAGGCCGGAACAATTTCCTCTTGTAATCATTTCTTTTTATAGGTTTCATTGTCTTGAAATAAAGCTTACTTGTTCTTTAATCAACACCCAAAGTTTAGCATGAGAATTTAAAGTTCAGGTTGGGAAAAAATTTTAACAATTAGAAAAGGTTTAATATAGCAAACTTGCCATTTCAATGTAATTAGGACAGAAGACAGCATATGTTTATCAGTCAGGTTCTGGGCACTAAGCTAAACCTGTATGAAGTACCCAAGGGGCAGCACTAGTGTTTCACTTGCATCCTGAACAAGGTGTAAGGAGAGCAACTAACAAGATTCACTGGAGAATCTGATGTTTCACAGTAAACAAAATTTCATTATATGATATTAATCTTATACAAACCCTTAGGGATGAAATATTGAAGACATCTAGAAGTCAGTTTTACAGTAGTTGTACCACATAGTTTACGAACAGGTAATTCTCACAAGTGCAGAAACTGTTGTTACAAATTATTTCCTTGGTCATACTGGTGCAGCTCTATTAGCCTATCAACTCCCTGGAAGGGTGGCTAAGCCAACAAGTTTCCTCTGGGGCAATACCTCCAATGCACAAGTTCAGGGCACAAGAGCAAAAAATTCATCTTTCATTTCTGCTAAAGAGATGCCCAACTTTTTTTTACTTGGCCCTTACCAGTCATCCTCCCTTTCTCCTGGCAGGATAATAGTCCCCCTTCCTCCCCACTTTTAGTCCCAAGCTTTTGTACCATAGTGTTTGCACCAGAGAAAAACACAAGAACGTTGCTAGCCTGACTACTGTCAGTTTTTCCTAGTACTGTGGGTAATTTTTGACAGACTTTTTATGGGGGCTGGGAGGAAGAGGAGAAGTTGGAAAGTTCTTTCTGCAGCTCTAGTTTTTACCGATTCTTCTAATTTAAAGCACTTATCCATCCATTTTAATTTTCTCTTGGTTGAAGCTGCACAAGCTTCAAGGAACACGTGACAAACCTGCAGCAAGCCCCTTGCCTTTCTTCTTTGTTTTGGGACAGAGGTATCCAGAAACAACATAGTGTCTATGATGACCTTCCCCATCTAATCACCACATTTCTGGACCATTTTGCTTACCTTGACATAGATCATAGGGAGTGTCTGTTTGGCCCGACTATAATGTCTGGCAACTCTGTATACTGTTTCAGGAACATAGTCCAGCACCAAGTTGAGGTACACCTCATCTTTCTGAAAGACAGCACAGAAAAATAACGCCAAATAAGTTGGATGCATGAAAACAAAAGCATAGCATTCAAAGCAGCTGGCAGCTTTTGGTGCATCTATATATAATAAGGATGTGCAATTTTGGGGTTTTTTTCCCTGTCTTTTTTTTTTTTTTTTTTTAAATAAAGAGCATGTCCACACTGGGAAAACACAGTATGTGAGCAAATTTTAACTAGTGCAACACTAAAAATGATTTATACACTAGGTGTTATGTTTATCATCATATCAAGTCAAAGTCAAGCAGATTAGACATGTTTTCAAACACACAGCATTTTCCCAGCACAAAGATGACAAAAGAGGTCAATGACCACTTTGCCCATTCCTAGCTCCAGAAGAGGGGTTTTGAAGGAATATCTTCACTCACAATCTCACAGCCCACTTAATTTGACAAGACTTGCTAACTATGTTCCAAGGCTTTACCCATGCAATTACATACTGACACAAAGGTTAAAATAAACCCAACATATTGAGAAAAACAACTCTCTTGCTGAAGTAACACTGTTATAGAATTCTGCTGCTTTTAAATACACTGGAGATTAAGGGGGCTGTATTTTCCTTTTAAAACTCAGTACAAAAATCTATATAGAATAAAATTCGGCAAGTTGAAAGCAAGGTTTCAAATGTGATTTTAGTTCATTTAAAACGTTATTTTGAACAGACTCAACCTAAATCCAAGTGTCTAGTTGAAGCAGAAGAGGGATGAAAATTTGTAACACCACAAAAACAGGTCTCAATTTTTGCTTCCTCCCGCCATTTCCAAAGATATTTCTGCAAAGAGAACATAAATGCCACAGGAAACACTTCAAGTGCACAGAGCCTAAGTTCACTTGGAAAAGTGGAGCATGCTCATTTATAGTGAAGTGGACCCAAAAGTGGCATACAGTATTTCGATACATCCTCCACCATTGCTATTCTAATATGTAGAATGCGAGGCACAAGCCTACTACACCAACCTGGAATAACTATTTCTGTTAGTCAAAAACTAACAATACACCAGAAGAAAAGCAGAAAACCTTTTCTGTGTTTGCTAAATAGAAATAAAGCAAAAGGCAACAGATTTTCCCAGCAAGGAGGGCTCATCTGGTTGGAAGTGTAATACAAAACTCCCAGGACTTCACAACTGTCCTCACTAGTGGGTGCTTTGGCTACACTTCTTAATTAACCTTTCCCAATCTGAAAGCAATACCTCCACATGCATTTATCAGGAGTCATTTCATCACAATATTCCTTGCTTTAAACCACTGCAACTTAATTACCCAATTAGAGTGCACAGGCTGGTGGGTTACTTGCTTGGTTCTCTGAATTATTTACGCAGTCTCTCTTCTGTCTGAGCAAACAGCAGAGACCTCCAGTAAGCAAGGGAAAGATGGGGAAGTCTTTGACATCTGCTACATGTATACTTCATACATGCGTGCAAAATATATGTAGAGAATTAGCTGCATATTCAAAAAAAACCCCAGAAATTCAGAAGATTATTTTTCTCTGCCACTGCCCGAGAACAAAGACATGGACTTTGACGGTGTTCTGAGAGCCAGAACCTCTTGACTTGTTACAAGATGGTGCAAAGGGATTCACTTGCATTAGCCTTTCACCCACCACCACCCATAAAATATTCTCTCTGCTACTGGTTATGCTCTTATGCTCCACTGGTGGCAGTGCCAGCACAGAAAAGGTGCCAACTACCTCTCAGTTCATTTCCTACTGAAGCATTTATTTCAGCTCTGAGTGGTTACACAACATGAGGTGAAGAGCAACAGCCTCAGAAACCCTGCATATAGGAACATCTTCACCATCACCATCTCAGATACTAAACTGTGGGGTAGAGAGGGGCTGCAGGGGGGATGGAAGCAAGAAGGGGTCATTTGTGGGGGAGAAGGGGAAGGAACTTTTAAGGAATGTTCCCTGCCCACCCACCCCGTCATTACTGACCGGCAATTGTCTAGTATAATTATAAAATTCAGTGTCACATTCAAGTTACCTGTCCTAGATATGAGGATCTCACACTTCTACAGCAAGAGAGGGACTTCATTTTCATGAGCCCAAATTGCAATCCTCTCAGTACCAGTATGTCTTTTGACTATTGAAGTACTTATTTATAGATGACCAGATGTATATCGCTATATGGAATACTTGCATCTTGGAGAATGAAAAGGTCATGCTGGCAGCAAAGTACTCTATCATCAGGATTGATTATTTTTATTCAGGGAACTTAGAATATCAGCGTCAAAGAGCCTTAAATAAAAGGTGGCAAAGGTATACAAAGCAACAACTGAATTACAAAAAAGGAAAGCTGACATTCCTATTTACCTTTGCACTGTACAAGAAAAAGCAGAGGTTAAATATAAATTTAAAGGCAGGAGATTTAGAACTAACAGATTTTTAACACAATATATAATTAACCTGCAGAATCAATGTGTAATTAGCCTGTTGAATTCAATGCCCACAGAGTGCAAGAACTTTATGATATACTCTAGTTTAAAAATCTTTCATTTCATTCATGCCTTACTGTGGTTTAATTCCAAATTTTACTTTCTGTTCTCTTGTATGGGGGACTATTTCTAATGCCACTACTATTGCTCCCCCTCCCCTTCTCTGACAGTACTAGCCAGTTGCTTCCTTTCCCAACCACTTTTTCCTTCCATCCCAGCAACTTCCTCTTGCTCTGGCAGCCTTTTTCAGCTGTCAAAGTGATCTCCATCTGCCTTTTATCCCTATGTTTCTGCAGTGAGGGAGGAGACTCCACTCCGCTGTTCAAATCTCAGTTCACACAAGCAGCACAGCACAACTGTAACAGTGTGAATTACATAATACCCTCTGCCCCCTTGCTCCCCAGGAACTGCAGCATGGTGAGCTGTATAAAATATACACTCTATCTGACACACAACCCTCTATGGCATCCCCTGTATACCACCTCTTGCTTGCCAGGTAGCTGAGTAACACTCACAATTGGAACAATTTTCTACATGTAGAGCTTTGGTGGCTTGCCATATAAATATGAAGGCACCCTTGAGGTACAAAGCCTTTTCATTTATATTTTTTTTTATGCAGGCAAATTCTCTCTCCTAACACAACCACAAGCAACTGACATCTCAAAAAAATGCTACTAATTTTTTTCACCAAGTAAAGCTGACTTGACTGTTCTGACCTAACTCTCCTTGCTGGTACCATAGCGCGATTCTCACCCACTCACTACACAGGTGTAATACTTTTCTCTATTCCTTCTCTGCAACTGGGCCAAAGAATAATCTGAGAGTTTTCTAGTTTCCTCTGTCGGAAAAATGGCATAAACTAAGAAGCAGCCAGGCCTGTCAAGCGGATTTGTTTCTCATTCATTCCCTAAGAAGTCAGAGAATTTCCTGTACCCAGAGGTGCATGCCATGAGGGAATCAGCTAGCTGAAAAGGTTTGCCAAATGAAGGCTATAACCTCAGGGCTGAGTGGTTTCCAGCAATTAACACCTAGACCTGACTTTCCATCACCTGGAAGGATTTAAATTATTCTTCAATCCTAGATAAACTATCCACACCTGCCTGACTCACTTCCAAATGGCCATTTATGATCCCTGGGTTGGGAACCACTAGAAAGGCAGTTCAGGTAAATGTATGTATTTGTATTTTTCTGTCAGAGATGCAATATGGTCCAAAGCAGGGGGCACCACAAAAGTGGAGGTAGAAGGGTCAGAATGCACTTTTTTTTTTTTTGGAGCTGTAATGAACCAACTACACCAAAGATACTAGAGCTATGGGTTCCTTAAACAAGGGCACAGAGATGAGCATTTAAGCTTTCCTATATTGCCACTAGTGCTCTGAGCATTTCTTCTTTAACCATAGTTCAATTCTTATCCTTTGTTTTGGTTAAGGACTGTGCCCTTGGCCACATGGCTCCACTGCATCTGAGCTATGGACTATGCACTTGTAATTGCTTCAAGTATTAAAGGCTTTGTGTCTGCCACTGGGCAGATAATTCCTTGGAAGTGACATGCCAGACTGGCTCTAATACACCCACACTAGCCAGCTAAACAAAGAAAGGATGGCCTTGTTAATGTACTAGTCCATGATGTTCAAGAACTGACAACACAGGCAGAATCTTGCATCAACTGGAAATGTTTCATATAAATAATGATTTTGTTCCACTACAAACCTCTCTGTAATGGGAGTGTGGGAAAGAGGAGGAGACAAAAGCCAAAGCATTTTAACAGCTCATTTTGTCATTCTCTTTGTGTCAGAAACCAGAGATGAAACCAGCCTCTAAGAGTGAGCACTCTGGCATCTGTGCTGCTCCTGCATTATTTAAATGCTGCCTGCATGAACAGCTAAGGAAACTGAAATGCTGCAGCTTGACACATTGAAGATACAGGGATGTCAAAAGCTCCCTTCAAACTCACCTGTCCCTCAGCATACAGAAAGAGCAAGTCACCCAGCTGGTTTAATCACCCTCACTATGCCAATATCACACAGCAGATAGGTAGTATAGGGATGAGATACTTATATGCAGCTCTCCTGGGTCATTTTTGTATGGAACAAAGGTCAAATATTATTATTTCCCCATCCCTCACCCCCCCTCTTCCCTCAGGACAGGAGTGCATTAAAAATACTTAGCAATCAGAATAATTTAAATTAGGTAAGCTACACTGACACCATCCCAGCACTCCTGCTTCCTTTATGTATGGCAATCATTGATCCTATGGATCATGGTGTACATGTAAGAGGTCCATGAGAGGTTCACACCAAGACCATCAGCACATACACCTAGGCAAGAGTATGGAGGAGTGGATGCTGCCCTAGATCTATCATCCCCCTTTATCATAGAATTATAGAAAATTAGGTTTGGAAGAGACCCCAAGGGCACATCCAGACATGTGAGGACACTTGATTCCCCGGGGACACCTTGCACCGCAGTTCCTTGATCCTGGGGAACGCCTGTATCACATGCGCTTTGGCGCACAGCTAGCTACCCCGGGGCAGT